AGTTGTCCCTCATTCAGGTCCCATGACATTCAAAAGGAAGGCGATCAGGTGTGTAAATTAGAGTGTGTCCTTGAGAACGTGACCTTTTATCACATAAATGTCTCCTTCTGTTTACAACTGCTTTCAGAAAGTAAGCTAAATTCAAACATGTGAAAAGGACGCTATGTAAGAGCAGAGACAGCAAGCACATAATGATCAAATGAGGAAAAAAATATCAGTTATGTAATAATGAGAGTTTGAGACAAAACTGAGATTCTTATTGCATAGACATTTTTTTTTTTTTTGCATATGCTGTTCTGTAATGGCTTATTTCAATGGAATGTCGCATAAATGTTCTTTTTAAAATGAAATTTAAATTGTCATCAATTACCCTCATGTCGTTCCAAAGCAATTCCCTTTTTGAGAAGGAAGAAAGAAAGTCATAATAGACATGAGAGTGAGTAAATGATGACAGAATGTTCATTACTGGGTGAACTATTCCTGTATTTTATTATGCACTATGACATTGAAAATCATGGCAACGAGAAGCGTTTCTGCAGCTTTAATCAAATCAGTCTTTTAGTGGTCTAAACACTCTGTTCTTCAGGATGCTCTGCTGTTACCATAGAGACTGAAGCTTTGAGAGTCTCTCCGGTGAAGAGGCCCGATCCTTTCAGGTATTAATGACAACATAAGAACGACATTATTTGGAATTGTACATAAAAACAAACAGTCATTTTTGTAATACTGAACCAAATAAGGAAAACCACAGTGCAGTTTTACAAAGAATAATCATAAAAACGACGTGAAAATATGCTATAACAACTGCATCCCTAACCAAAAAGTAGTATACTTCAAGTGTATTTTTAAGTATACTTTATGTAGTAAGTATACAAATATCAGTGTACTAGTAGTATACTTGTAAGTGTACTATTTCAATACTCCTTGGGACTAAATTGGCCCACTTTCTAGTATATAAAAGTATACTTTTAAGTATACTTTAAGTATAACAGTAGTAAACTTTAAGTACACAACTAGTTTACAACAATATTTCAGCTTGTACTGCAACTATACTAAAAGTGAACTAATAGGTATACTAGTTTTTTTCACTGCTTATCCTATTTTGGCACAATCCCTAAATTGAACTTGAGTAGTTTTACTAAGGGCATTCATCTCACATGAAATTGAACTATGTCAAACATATTCTACCTGCCTTCCTGATATAAATTACTGTGAATTTGATATGGTAATTAATACTGAGACACTAATTTGGGCAAAGAGCACTAATGACTTGTTTAAGACTTGAATCTTAAAGCTGAGGACTTGCAACTCGACTTGGACTTGCCTGTCTTGACTCGGGACTTGACTTGGGACTTGTCTGTCATGACTCGGGACTTGACTCGAGACTTGAATGCAAAGACTCGAGACTTACTTGTGACTTGCAAAACAATGACTTGGTCCCACCTCTGCTAATAGCACACTTGAATAAACTTCTTTTTCGTAAGGGATGTTTCACGATAAGATGACGGAAGTAGGCTTTTTAAATCGTTTAAAAACCTTACCTGAAAAACGAAACACGCACCGTTTTCTGTGGAAGACTATTAACGTCTCGATTTTATAAACAGCTTCACATATAGCCTAATGTTTATTGAGGATAAAGGTGTGCTGTGTTCACGCGTTATTAGGCTCTCAAGAAGACACGCTACACTAAAACACCCATCTCATGCTATGATATAATGATGTTTTCTTTTTTATTCACAGTCTTATAGGGAATATAAAACAGTATTCTAGTTAATTACACATATGGAACAGTAACGTTAATTGCGTTAGCTCGCCACAGTACCTAACGCTAGGTCCGTTGTTGTTTGATGTATTAAGAAATAAAAGTGGAAAAAATTACTTAGTTTGGGAAAAGTGGTCTGTATTATGATTTAAGAATACATAGTTGATATCTTACCTTATAGATTGACCAAATAATGGGTATATTCTTGAAAATATTAAGAAGAAATCTCAGAGTCGATGTTTTTTTTCCTCGAGAGAGACTATCATCTGATGCTGTAACAGTTTACTAAATTCTTTCAAACATCCTCACACGACTCTTCTTCGTCTTGTTTCAGCATCGTGACTGTTTATTCCATCAGGAACTAGCACATTACCAACTTCTTCCACTTTTCCAGCTGTTTCACCACCAGATTTGAGGGTTTATCTTTTTCAGAGCGTCTCCTCACTGGAACCTCCCATTTCATGAAACGATTGGTTCATGAAGAGACCAGACGTCATTGTTTCGAATTTGATTGGTTAGCTTACCTGTCAATCAACAGTTGGTCTCTTTTCCACGTGTGCATTTTTTTTCCTCTCCGAAAGAATCAGTGGAAGATTGTCCGCTACAGTCAAAAGAAATTTCAGTCCAGTGGAATAAACTTATAAAATATATTTTGAAAACGCACTTCTATTTTAAAACCTTGGTAAATCAATACATAGATAGATAGATCACAATTAATTTACATGTTCTCTTTAAAGTTTTAGGTACTTTGCAAGAGAAGATAATACGCTTGCCAAAGGCTAAAGTTTTCCCAATGCTTTGGTCCAATTGTTGTAGAATATTTTGATGACATACTGTTTTATTATAACAGTTTTTACAGAGTTTTGTTAGGTTTTTACAGTTGTTGAATGTTTTATAAATGTAGGGCGGGACATGAGGGCAGGGTTTGGGTATACGTGCTTAAAGGCACGGTCACGAGAGGACCTGGCAACGGAGAGAAGAATGTCATCTCAAATATTATTTATTTTACACTTTATAACGTGGCACTCATATTACGTTACATAGAAACTGAATTCACTTAAACTAAACAACATCCTGGCACCAAATCTATGAACTCAATGAATTCTGTAAAAACAAAGTAGGGAACAACAGTTAGTCTTTGCAACTTCAGGGATCTTATCTATTCACGAACAGCTTGTAACACTACAAAGAGAAAGGAAAACTTGAAATCGCATCATATGACCCCTTTAAAAATAACAGCACTATATAAAAACTTTACAACAACAGGCTAGGTATTTCTTAATATGTTAATATTTCATTAAAAGTATGACTTTAGTACAAACAACATACATCTTTGAAACTTACATTTCTGATTATTAGAAAATCACAATATGTTGGACAGAGTCTAAAATTCTCTGCCTTTGAATTTGGCATGTGTACGTTAATGGGTAATTCAGATGTGCATTGTGCAATACATGAGATATGGACAAAGAGAAAACAAAAAGGCTCTGTGGTCAGACACTTTGCATGCACGGTTTTCAGCCTATCCAAACTTCCTGTCCTCATGCACCACAGAGGAAAATAAGCAAGAAAGATGGAAAAGGAGGGTCACGAACAAATAAAGACAAAGCTCTTGAGATTCATATAAAGGATGCACATTCAAAACGGTCTTTTCCTAGGCAGCGTGTGCAAGCAAAAGACCATATAATCATGCAGGACTGCTACACACATACTCGCCTCCATCTCGAGATGATGGTCTTTTTTATAAATTCTTTTTATTCACATATAAACACACTGAATCAGTGTCCAGGGTCACAGGCTACAAGCAGACATGGAAATATCGTGCAGTGATGAAAAATGGACATTGTCAGGGAAACTGGACACGAGCAGAGGACCAGTAGAGGGGCTCAGGCATGGTCACATGAACTCGACAGGAGGGACAGGACTGTTTCTGCCAAAGCCATTTCTCAATGCACTGAAAGAAAGGAAAGCCAAATTATGGAGGGTCATTCAAAGTCAGAATGTGGCTGTATATAAAAACTGAAAACTACTGAAACATACATCTGCTCAAGCTAAACATATTGCAACATTTATTGCTTTTAAAGAACTGCAAGCTTAGTAAAACACGCTATCAGTCTGAATTTAAGTTTACATGATGTTAAAACCCTTTTGATTTGCACATTTATGCTTAAATTCTTGAAAAAATTTTGATTTGTCCACAAATATATTTATGAATATATTTACAAATAGTTGACTTGTAGTGCAGCCTATGCGAGATAAATGCTAAAGGAAATCATGTTCAACTAAACTAAATGTTTCCATTCCAGAAGAAAAGACTTTTAAAAAAGTTATATATACATTTATATCACTAAGACTCATAGCAGAGGCATGATTGCACTTGCATGACAACCGCAGATCTGTTGACCTTGAGGGGCAGAACTGTGACCCATCATTGATTTCCATTACAGTGGCATGATTAGCCACCAGCTAATTTCCAGCATATGCATTTAACAAGCTACTGTAGCTTTATAAACGCAACTCCTGATGTATGACCTGCAAATTCAAGATTTTACCATATTCACACAGCATCCATAATTCCAAATCAAAAACCAGCCAAAACATCTTATATTCACAATTTGGTTTTCTAATCCAAAATAGCTGTATAAAATGAACAACAGGATCATGAATAATAGCAACAATCAATGCACATTAACTCTGAAAAACAAAATTTGATCGACAGTTTAGTAATACACAGACTATAAAAAAACATATTATGGTTTATATAATTCTCACCATATAGGAAAAGGACAAAAAGTACAAAATCATGACATTTCAAACAGCAATATCTATCAAATATAAATGACTTGGAATGGGAAAATAAATAAAAATGCTGGTATCTACTGTTATTCTTTGCTTTTCTGATTTCAAAAGGGGGGAAAAGACATTGCCTGCAAACCAGGTTAATTTTTAAGCAATAGTAGTGAAGCTAAACACAAACTAAAACTGACAATTAACACGTTTTTTGATAATATACTGAGTGATTACTGTTTAGTTTAACTACTTTTCATGCATACAGTTGTAACGCCCCTGTGTCCTTATTTGGTTGTTCCTGTCCTCATTATTAGTTAATTACCTTGATTGTGCTCACCTGTCTGCCCCTCGTTATCCACCCTATATTAGTTCCTGCCTCCTGTAGTCTAGTTTGTCAGTTATTGTGAATGTTACTCCGAGTGTGTGTGTGTTTCACCTACCTGTACCTGCCTTGTTGTGTCTACATTAAAAGTCATTA